AAACTTGTATGGCAGGAGACATGGAATTTATATAATTCCCAAACTACCAAATACTACTGTATATAAAATTATCAAAAGTGAAGCAAAATTAAATCGAAACACTGAAAAAATATATTATATATTATATTCATATATATTTTATTTGTCCCAAACTATTATCATTGATTATAAATATTAAATACTAATATTTACTGTCAATGCTATTGTTAATACTATATCCTAGTATATAAATTCAAACTGATGTCTTATGTTTCAGGTAAGCATTTATAAAACTCGTGGTGGAAAAGGTCAATGTACAATACAATCTACACTAGGACAAGATAAAATCTTGGGTTTTATAGGTGATCGTATGGAGCCTCTTGAAATCGATAATGATTTTGATGCTGACCTTGGTAAATAAAACTGCTTATTTATTTTAAAAAACAATATTAAAATATATTACATTTTAACTTTTAGAACTCACTAGATGTGTTAGAGGAAGTAATTGGGTAACTATTACCAAAAGTAACCTATTTAACCTCAGTTAACCTATTGTTGCTGATGTTCTGAGTTATTATTTTGCAAATGTCAGTAATAATATGTCTAGTCAAATAAATTCTGAAGCATAATGTGTTAAATTATACTGGAATAAAAACTTAACTCACAATATGTATTGGTAAGCCAATTTTTATTAAACCTATGCCCTGTTCAAAAAGAGACGACACCAGGCAAAAAGAAGAACCTGGTTTCTTGGTTTCTTCTCATGCAGTAGTATAATTAAAAACGGTTAAACTTTGGTTGGACAATTCTTTAATGGTAAATTTTAAAAAATCAAAATGTATTTATTAACAAAACCACTACTATTGGTGATGTATATAGATGTTATAATACTACTAACCATTTGTAGTGTCATGTTAATTGTTGAGTGATTATTCATAAAACGGCTAGTATATAGTATTTAGGAGTTATTATTGATGAGCATTTGAAATGGAATAACCATATTGATTATACTTCCTCACTCGATTTATTTTTAAAATTTAAATAATTAAGATATATTTTGGATATTAACAATTTTTGGATGGTTTACTTTGCGTTAGCACAATTTCTTTTATAATACCTGTACAATTGTTGTATGGGTTGGAATGAACAAAACTGATTTGCATAAATTAGAAATTGTGATGAACACTTTAATTAAAATCATACTTAATAAAGATCAATTTGACTGAACATTAACTGTATAACAATTTTGTACCTATATTTTACTGTTGTTATTGACAAATGAAATTTATTATATTAATATTATTATTATTATAAACATACCTATATTTTTTTTACAGAACAATATTCTTCAAATGCAATTGCTTTCCCAAAATAAAACAAAAAAACCGAATTCTAATGATCCATTCACAGTTACTAAAAGCGATGTCCATGAAGGTTTAAATGGATTAACTAGCAAACATTTGTCAATGAAAGACAGTAATGCTGACTACAAGTACACAATATATGATTTACAAATAAAAAAGGCCAAGGTAGAATTAGAAGCTGCTGTAATTGATAAATAAGTGGCTGAGAATAAGTGTTAAAGTTCAATTTCTGAAAAGCAACCAAACAATTATAAGAAAGAAATTTTAAAAATGGAACTAGAACAAAAAAAAAATTACTACAAAAATAAAATGTAAATATTATAAAAAAAATAATAAAAGTTCTTAATTTAGTCATTACTGGAAAATATAGTATTAATTAAATGTGTCCTGAATACATTTCCAATATGTCTTGCTGGTAAACTAGGTATTTCTTGAAATATTTCTGGATCAATTTCATGGTTGTCGTCTTCAGGCATAGGGTCATTATGCATTCGTATCAATTGGTATCATATTATGCAAAACTGCAGCAGCTAGGTACTATTATAGCCATAGTGGTTGTCAATGTTGTCCTTATACCCAAGGCTAAAGCAAGAATTGTCCTTTTAAAGTACCAAAAACTCGTTCAATTATATCTTGTACCTATTCAAGGTTTCTAAAAAATAATGTAATATTTGTATCTTTAAATTAATTATTTAAACAATTTTCTATATTTTTTTCAAAATTTACTTGATATTTTTTTTCTGATGCTGTTACAGGATTTAAAAGAGGGGTCATTAGATATCTCCTGCATGAGTAACCTGCACCTTCTCCAAGAATATAACAATCCCCAAACTGATTGTTTTCTAATTTGGCACTAAGCTAACTGTTATCTAAAATAGTGCTATCGAGCACAGAGCCAGTCCATCTGAATCAGATATAAAACCAATAATTTTGTTACATTATATTTTTTATTATTTTAATAGAACCCAAACATACTTGGTAAAATTATTATATCATATTACCTTGCAACAAAAACTGTTATTTCATGATTACTCTTACATACAGCATCCCAACTCCCAAGGCTAGGCATTAACGAGTTAAAAAGTTAAAGTTAAGTTAAAAAGTTAATTTTGTTTTAACTTTTTAACTTAACTATAGTTACTTTTGGCTTTTCATTAACTTAACTGTTAATTAACGTGACATTAACGAATTAATTAATTAAGTTAAATTAATTTATTTTGTTTTTCATTTTATTATATAGGACGATCAATATTTCATTCTATTTCGTTTTCATTTCAAAAAATATTTGCCGTGAATTGCTTAAAAGTAAAAATATATACCATTCGAATTTAACTTATATGGAAATAGGTACTGTAGCAAGTATAAACACTATAGTCTGTAATTTAGTTTTGGGTTAGAAAAAAATTAAGTACGCTAGCTAGGTTTTACAACAAATTTTTTTTAACTTGAAAAAAAGTTAACAAAAAGTGTGTATTAACTTTTAACTTAACTGAGTTAACCTACAGTTAAATTAACTTTTAACTTTATGTTATTGGTGCATATTAACTTAACTTAACTGAGTTAAAAAAATCATTAACTTGCCCAGCCTTGCAGTCTGCACATTAAAGTAACTCTTTATCTATTACGGTATTGTTCTCCAATAATCTCAACAAGGAGACTGAATTCTTCTATAGGTACAATCTATAACTCCAATCACTTGAGGAAATTTGTGCATTTTATAAAACCCAACTTTCGTTTCTTACCAAACCTTCTGAGGTGAAAAACACTATCGCCTGGCAAGTTCTAAATTTGATTTATTTACTTTATAGATGAAATGAGATCTTAACTAAATCTAAGCTTCAATCAAAGTAGCTCTCACTTTATATTATTTTAGCGATATGTTTAATGCCAACGACTATGTAAAGTGCTTTCTAATTGAATTATGTGAATGTATTTATTTTGAAAACTTGTGAACGTTAACATTTGGATAACTGCTGGCTAATTTAAATATGTTGTTGGGGTTCAAATAACCATTTCGTGTATTTATTTAAACTACAACTAAGCACTCACTTTTAAACTTTTACGAGGAATGAACTTAGTTGGGGAGCTTACTCCCCTCGGGGAGCTACTATACTATACTACTATACTATTTTTGCGGAATTTCTCTAACTCCCCGATTTCTGTCTACGACTATTTTCAAATGTTAATAAATTTCAATTGTTTTCACTTGAATTTCGTGAATAGTGAAAAATTCACTATAAAATAGTTAGTCCAGAAAAACATTGTAGATGGTAATTTTTTTTAATTATAACATTATTCCATAAAATCAGTGGCGCCTTATTTTAAAAACCCTTCTAAATTTCTCATCAACCACAAACCCACCTGCCTAAATAGTAAAGCAGAAATATACAAAATAAAATTTAAGGTACCTATGCCAATTTTTTTCCTGTCACCAAGAGCAACATTTCAATAACTATTATGAATTATAAACAACTGACACTGGTTATAATAGGCTTAAGGCTTTTCCATAAAATTACGATTGCAGACCTTTCATTTTTGTACTCAACTGTGCGTAGATAAAATAGTACCGTATAAGTCATACTTCCATAATGTATAATATTTATCAACCATCAACTTAATACTAAATATTTCTATGGGGTTCACAATAAATTACAATTCTTAATATTTTATTTTTTGATTTTATAAAATTAATACTTATAATGAAAATAAAAAAAATATCAAATGCATGTAGGAATGCATGCAAAAGAACAAACAAAAAAATTAATCAAAATGTTAACAACTTAAGCAACTCTGGATTCTTCAAAGAAAATATGTTTAGAATTTGGTCAATGGTCATAATCTATATTTATGTCGATTTTGCATGATATTTTCATTAAATTTTCTAGGCGTAATTGTATGATAAAATTCTACGTGAAATTGATATGTTTAATATATATAGGTAATAAAATATTATACCTAATGTATAATACATTAAAAAAAAACCATAACTGATTAGTGGTGTTTAATACTTTAATACAATGTTTAAATATTTGTATATAGAATATCTGACATTAAATACTGCACGATAGTAACAAGATGTAACAAGATCAACAAAATATTAAATAAATAATAACGGACTACAGCTATATTATAATATAATATACTAATTATTACTAGGGTTCGGCACTTCTTGCGTTTGCATGATTTTTTGTAGTGCTTGTAGATTATTGTAATAATTCATTCTTAATATTACCTATAGCCTACCTAAACAGTTTTCCTGCAGACTTCTTTAATTCTTTCCCTATTTGTCAAAACATTATAAGTAATAATTAATACAATTATACTGTATTGATTTGTTTTAAAAATTTAAATTAAGTTTAGAAACCAATAATTTAGCACTGTCTAAGTGGGCTTTCCTAACTTGGTTTTTATACCTATTTTAATTCGAAATTTGAAAGAAATTAGATAATAAAACGGAGAATACAAACTTTAGTTTTTTGTTTTAATTTATATTAGAATGCTATTCATAATGTAACCAAAAAATCTAAAAAATATAGGCTATAGTATTAATAACATAATATTATTAATCTGTACTGGAATTCTTGTATTATCCATCATCACTGCATGTCTGCATTGGTACTGGGTCACTGAGCTTGAAAATATCAGTACTCATATGATATGAGTATATTCAAATGTCCCGCCACAATTTCGATCCATCGCGTTGGATCCGCCGCCGTTCTGACCGACTCGCCATCTATTGCTGATCGTTTTGTTTATCGTACGTCACGGCCTATATACCTACCCATACCACAGCCGGCGTCTACAGTGATCGCCCCTGTCGGCCGACCTGATTGCGACTCGTCAGAAAATCGGTTGCGTTCGGTCGGTGATCGGTCGGACCGACTCGCGCGTCACTTTAATGAAAGTGCCGTTTGTCGGACCGTCCACCAACACCCGGTCCGGCGACTTGGGTGGCCCACGGGTCACGGGACGGACGTTGGACCAAAATCCTCTCCCTTGTAATGTTCACACTCCGATTGCTATGTATATATACCGCCGACGGACTCATTATCGACGGGAGTGGTGTGTCCAGTGATGGCATGCTGAACATCGATCCCTGAGTGAAGTCTGGCCGATCTGCTCATGCGTGTTCATCACATGTCCGGTGTCTCACGGTTGGAGGACACTCCCGATGCCGCCGCCGCCCGGTCGCAGTGTCCTGTCACAGTCCTATGACGCGCAATGGGATTCTTCCGTACAGAGAGGCACTTGTGTTCCCGTATGCTACCGAACCCGCGCGTGTGCCCCACACGTCCCAAAAACGGCCCTGCTGTCGCAGGTTGCCATTTTTTTGTTTTTTTTTTATTTTGAAAAATTGTCAATTAATTATAATTGTAATTTATTATCAATATTTTTATCATATTCAAGCTAGCAAATATATAGCCAAAAAACCTCGGTTTACTTGAGCATTCGTTGGTCATTACATATTTTTATCATGATCATATACTTGTACCCTAATTTATTTAAAATATAATATATAGTATTATATTATATTACAATATATAGTACAAGTATTTAGTTAATTATTAACTAAATAATTTATTTAATATACTAATCGGACCATGGCTGTTAAGTTATCCGAGTTTGCAAGTTATAAGCCTTGGGTGAATGAGTTATCACTGCACTCACGAAAATAAAATTAATCTTAAACTGCTACCGTATACTGTTAAATTGCAATTTTCTTTAATACTGTAGATATAAACAATTTTGTAAACTTTTCACAAGTATTTTTTTATTCACTAATCGCTTTGTCCTAAAAATGTGTTATTTGGGACTTTAATTTTGATTATGGTGTGCAAGGTTTTTTTAGATGTGTTGTAAATATTATTACTGTACCTATATGTTCTACGTATACACGAATCACTTTCTTTTCGATTTGAATTGAGTTTATCGAAAGAATCAATCCACCCAACGAATTTTCGAAAACAATATGCCTAAAGCACATGTGCTAATTCTTTCAAAGAGGAAGGTCTGCAACAGGTTATTATCATTTTTTTTATATTGATTTTTCATTTCAGGAGCGTGTGTTTTCTAAATTAATGTGTATCAAATTGCAATTGTTGCAATAAACCGAAAAATATATTATATCATATAAATAAACATCAAGGATCTATTTACGTTGGAAGGACGACTACTAGTGTAGTAGGTATGTAGTAATAACGGAGTATCTAAAATACTCCTTTGTCAACGTGTAGGTGCCGTTTAACGACGTCATGTGGACCGTGCATAATGGGACGTCTTAAATAACAATTTAAAATTCGAACTAGACGGTTTCTTCTTAAAACCTTGAGGTAATAATAATTCTTTTGTACTTTATTAAAACACACAAACCCTTAGCGAATCATAGTTAGGTAGGTATCTACCATTTCAAACAACGTATGATATAATATATATACATGATATTATACACTTCGCCTACCCACCTCTAGGCTCTACTGCTCTAGTAATCTAGTCTCTACCTAAATAAAAAAAATTATAATATTTGTAACGTATACTAACGTGTACCACAATCATAAAGTTCACATAAACGGTGTACCAATATAATATGATGGCATATTATTTATCCTCACAAGCCACGAATAGGACGATTTCTTGATTTTGAAACCTAAATGACGATTGTTCGTTCATAAGGAGTTTCCATGACTTAAGTTCCACCTGCAATAGGTTAACGTGACGTGATATCCTGTCACGAGGGCAGTTGAAAACGTTCATCAAATTAAAAGAAACCGGTGGCTAACGAATGTGGTGTGTGTGTGTGTAGGGAGGAGAGTAAAATGTTCCTTTTTCGACGCTATGCGAGCCAAATTGTACGCATCGCCTAACTCGTTATCATTTCCGTCGGTTAATGGTTTCGTCTTTTATATTTTTTCTCGTGCATTCACATTAAATAATGTTACTATGTGACATTTATTTTGACATCCCACCATATTCGTCAAAATTATTTCTGATTTTATTACTTTATACTCAATCGTCGTTAACCAATTAATATCACTGTAGTCAATAAAAATGTATACTTATTTCTAATAACCTATTATTTATAGTTTAATCTATGAATTTTACATCGTGACCCATCAACCCATGCATATAATTTAATATAACACCAAGTACCTAAGTGCAGTATTATAATATTATGTGGACATATTATGATTTTTAATTTTTAAGATTTCTGCGATTTCTGCTAGATATTTAGATAATATTAAATGTTCTTTTTATAACTATGTACTCTCATAATATTTGTTGGAAAATATTTTAGTTTTTTTAATGAATATACTTTATAATAATTATTTCATTCGATTCTTTTATACTTTATAATCATTTTATTTAAAAGCACGATTAAACTTGTATCATTAAACTCTGCAACAAAGTTATTTTTAATTTTATTAATATTTCAACACTGAGTAGGATTGCCTACCTATAAATGTATTACAATATTTTATACCATAACACAACAACAAACAAAACCCCATCATATTGATTAATTATAAATACTTAGTACTTACACAAATATTATTATGATTTTTAAAACTAAAGTGTTCCAATTTAAAATTCGCTTATTGAATATTATCTGTCTCGTTTGTTCCAGATTTTTGGCTGTTATTAATAAACATGTAAGTACCTACATGTATACCCTTGATATAATATGATAATCATAAATATAATGGAAATGAGAATTATCATAATATATTAAATTACTATCATCATGTTTTAACTCAAAAGTGAACATTTGCTGAAAAATATGTTCAATTTTAGCTTTTTATTTATTTTAGGAGTATATTATACTATAGTATCCTATAGTTTTAATACAATAAATATTAATTGAAAGGCGACAGTCGTTTATTGGGTTTAAAAACAATATATTTAAAAAAAAACTGTTTCGTTGATTAATTAACTAATGCCATAAACAAAAATTTCAAGAGGCAAATCGAAAATGATGCATTGAACAAACATTAGTTGCAAATAATTGCCTTTATAAATTTAAAATTACGTTACATTCAAAAACTTTTAATATTCATGCCGTATTTGTTGATTATGGAGTCACTATAGATATACAGTATTAAATGATTTTCACTGTCAGATATATTTATCGAGTTCACCAAGAAACATAGTCAATACGATAGTGAAAATAAATTCGAATGGTAATCATACACAACACTTGCAACAGGTTTTAAAATTTAAAGTAACTAAAATAAAAATGCCACATTTTTTTGTTCATTACTATTGTCTATTACTACATTTTGTAAAATAAAAGTTCACAACTTATATTTTTTATAAATACTCAATTAAGCTTGCTAGTTTAAACTTTTATAAATTAGGTAACATTGATTTTAATTTTTTTAAAAACTGATTTATATAATATTAAAGATCAATATTATTAGATCAATTATTGAACCTATTAGTATATTTATTTTGAACTATTAAAAAAAATAAAAAATATATTGACCAAATCATTAAAACCAAAATTACTAATACATTTTATTTGAAATAAAAAACTGTGAGCCGATTTTTGGACGAAATCTAAACGATTGGATAGGTAAATAATATTACACAACACAATTAGTAGTGATCGATAACATATAATATCGTACACCCTGCAGGGAGTGAACGTAATATTTTATTCGTTGTTGGGTATTAAGTCGGATGGTGCGGTGTATGTTCAACGTTATAGGTATACTATAGATATATTATTTTACTCGTATATGTCGTATCCGACGGTAATAAGTCGATTGAACACATTATAAAGTGTATAATATAAACTATTATATTCCTATACATATAGTAATATAGTATGTATAACTAACATAATAATAATATAATGAATACCTAACAATCGCGAAGAAAACAATTTATGCTATACGAATGTGTTGAAAATGTATGAAAATATTAACCAATTTGGTATGAAAAAAAAAAGAAAAAAAGAGAGACCATTATTATTTGTTAATCTGGTGTTGGCATTGGTAATAAATAATTGGTTAATAATACGCAAGGTGACGTGTAATACATGTAGCGGCGAGTGTTTCGTAGTATATATATTATATTGAAAATGTGTGTACACTGTATTTATATATATTTATAAATAATATCAATCAATGTGTCCGATACTTATCAACGCGATATACTCGAACATTTTACTAAGGTGCCGTTTCCATGGGCCTCGTGCCATTTCATTATATATAAGTAATAGGTATATCGCACGGTCAAAGACTCTATATAAATAATATTTTACCATATCGAACATTTGACCTGCAGGGGTTGGTGACTTTAATGGATTTGCAGTGAGATCGACCACCGAGTTTTCGGGGATTTAATAAATTACCAAAAATAAATAAAAAGATAGTCATTTATTCGTTTATAATAAATTATTATTAATGACGAAAGGGAGTCGAATAGATCCGCCGAGGCCACCGTTAAAATATATAGACATTTTCGATTTTGGTATGAATGTTTAGGCTTTACAATAATGATGTGTTTGTTTGGTTTTTTTCTTTGTATGTCTTTCATCTCGTTTTGGAGCCTCGAAAATAGCTCAAGCTTTAACTTTTGAGAGTGCGGTTTCTGGTATTAAATTGGATCCAGTTGGTACTTTAGATGGGGAAAAATTCACAGAACTTTTCAAATAATAGGGAAAAACAAAAAAAAAAGTTATAGCAACACCAGTTTTCGACAAAATTGATTTTTTTCTTTCGTTATAATTCAAAAACCAAATATAACCGTAGGATCTTGATATTTTTATCAAATATATTTTATATAAATAACAATTATTTCCTATTTAAATTTATTCATTTATTTAATTTTATTTCTTTTTGTGCAACTTATCATAGATTTTTGATATTATGGTCGATTTTATTTTGATAAGCGATGATAAAAAATTGCACGCTTGATAAAAATGTTTGAAATCTAATACAAGGATCCACAAAAGTTATACTTCTAACAGTAATTTAAAAAAAATATTAACAATACATGTCTACAATTTTTCTTTTTTTATTGACATTTTAAGTTTTAATTCTGACAAAATTGGATGTACAAATGACGATACGTCGATACCTATTTTATAACCTAACCTATTGTGTAATTAAAAATATATTAACAGTAGAGTATTTTTGTCATCACGTAGTTTTATTATTATTTTCTATGCACAGTGAAATTTTCAAAATAATTAGACCACTTTTAAGCTGCTTATAATACCATGAACCTTTTCAAACCGTAGTTCTACGGTAAGTGGTATTTACTATTTACCTATAATTTATAGTAACAGTATAATATAGGTTTTTGACCCACATATTTTGATCAACATGCCTAACCGAAAATAAATATTACGGACTGTTATATTATATTAAATAAGTTATAAAATAATAAATATCCTTTTGAAACAGAGGCTGTAGTCACCGTCTCCGCTCAGAATCGTTTTTCGTATTCTTCAAAATCGATCATTGAATTCTAGTCCAACACGACCATTACAACAGTAACCTATACTCAGTGACGAGGTACACTCGAAATCTTCTATCAGCAGAGTGATTTGCTGGGTTTTCAACCGAACTCGTATAAAATATAAATATTGTCAACAGTCATAATAATTGTTTGACCGAAATATTAAACTTGTGAAAATGATATAAGTACCTCTAAATATGGCTCTATAATATGAAAGAAGAAATGCATTAGTTTCCCACGCTTGATCTGAATTTAAATATACAGAATTACAGACTAGGTATAGGTACTGTTGTTATTAGCATTTATTGTTCTTCTTATTCATCTATTTGCAATAATATAATATGTAATTGGTCTAATTTCTGTGTACGCCGTTCGCGTTTCTCAAGATAATGACGTATTAAAAGTATTATTGAACTATCAAACTGGAGTTAGATATACTTGCAAATGCGATTAGAAACCAAATCGCGGTAACCGAACAACACGTCAACACATATACCTACGTAACACCATTGATTATGTGTATAATAATATAATATTTGTATAATCAATGGTAACACTTGGAGCATACGTTCCTATGGTATGCGTATAACACATAACCAATATAACCTATATCGGACTAGATAGATAATATCAATAACGTTCGGATTTTTGGACCGTTGCAAATTCAAGGACTCGTCGCCGCGGTCCAATTTATAGTTCGTACCTGTATAATATTATAGTAAATGGAATCTTCGGATTACGAAAGAACAACGAAAACCCTCATTGTGCTTACATATTGTTGTTTTTTTTTCTACCACACCCACGCACACACATACAAACACACACACACACACACACACCGCGCGGTGGCCATCCGTTTCAGTGGTCCTCAAGTAGGTATCTGTACTTACCTGTTGAGCTGTCAGTCATAACTCCAAGGACTATCACTGCACGCCCCACCCTCGAGGTCCGTAACCAAAAAAGAAGAGAGAGAGGGGTTGGATGTCGATCGCTTTATATACGCTCGCCCGGTCCACCGTCAGCAACACATGGATAATATTGTTGTCATATCGTTTCGCTGAACATCGATAAATAACAACAATTAATAAAACATAATAATTAATATAAAAAACGAAAATTGTTACCAGTTCGAAAGTTTATAAACACGTCTGCTTATTTCGTATTAAAATGAATCTTTTTGTTGTACCGGTCGTGTATGCGACTGCGGTGTTTTTAACAGTGATGGTGTGCGGTGAACAAACTAGAGAAGTGTACATGGAGAAACACGGTAAAGTTCAAGACCTAGAAACCTCAGCTTCGGGATACATATACAGGACGGATGGGCAGAACCCTCCGATATTCATTAAGCTCGGAGAAGGCAACAATGAAAACTTCAATGCCATATTGGAAGGTAAAGAAAAACTTTGAGGCTTTTACACGAATTAAAACATTATGATATATAAACAATTAAATATAGGTAGGTAATATTGAACGACATTGAATTGAATTACTCAAACAAAATACAAAGACATTTTTTTTCGTTTGAAACTTCTCAGATTTTTTTTTTATCAAATTATTTGTGGAGTGGTTTTTTTATGGATTATTGGGTAGTATATAATATAATATTATATTATAATCTATTGTTATATCTATAGGTAATAAAATGATAATGTAATTATTTTAAAAGATAAAACTTCATGTTATTGATATAACGTTATAATAACAACTGTTGTATTTTGGAAAACATTAATAATGTGATGGACAATCTCATCAATCGACAAAATAAAAAGATTTGTATACCTATAGAATATAGATATACGTGAAATGCATGCATTAAATTTGCCAGGATCCACATACAAATTTAAAGTTTAATAGACACTTTCAAGTATAATATATTCAAAATCAAAAAAACCAAAACTTTCAATAACCATTTGCCTTTTTGCTACAATATTATGCAAGCCGTTCCCCGTGTACCGAAAATTGTATCAAATATACCTACTGAACACCATACTTTTATCGTCGGTTATATGAGGATTTTATTGCACAAGTTTTAGTTGAATCAGAAATAATTTGAAAACTTTGTGTTGTAAGCCCTTCAAGTAAAAAATTCAAATCACAGACCACCGTGTGCAAAACTTCAGGAAACCTAATCATTAATAGTCATACACATTACGCTCGTTACCAAAATCTCAAGTAAATGTGTCTAAATGTTTCTCCTCAAAATGTGAGGGGAAAGAATAACACCAACCTGCAGTAGGTATTTCCAACGCATTTTATAACTAATAATAATCGTGTTCAGAATTGATTGATTATACGAACTCAACAAAAAAGATTTTTTAATTTAATGTTTTATTTAATGCATTTCAATATTTCAATGTTATAAGACGTATTATAATAACGTATAATATTATAGCGCTCAACATTAATACAAATTAAAAAATGCAATTCGGTGTTTCTTACCTAAGCTCGACAAGACGATATTTTTATTAACAATTCATCATCATTGTATGTTAATTGAAAAACAAATTTTTACTTTGAATTTTGAAATATTAAATGTAATGAGTAAAATGTAGGTATGCACACAGACGGAATTAAATTTAGTTTTACTGGAGGTATTCGAGCATTTATGTAAATATAGCAAAGGTCTTTATAATTTAAAAACTATATTGCAGATTAAATTCAAGGAATAAAAAGTTAAATTTTTTATTGAATACCATTCATTGTATAGTACATTTCTATTGAAATATTTTTAGTTTAAAATTAAAAATTATCTAATTATTTGAAGTACCATACTATTACTTCATTTTTATTACTAAAAATAATGACATCTTAAAGTTGTACGTCTTTTGGCAATAATAATCATTCAACAATGTTTTAAATCTGTACGAATAACGATGTCAAGATTGAAAAATGTAAGATTTAAAATTATTTATTTAAACTGCGACAAGAATACATTCTCAAAGAAATATGCCTCGTGAATAATGCATATCATTTATTACACAAGTTAAAGTATTATTTCCAAATTTTTTTTTAAACTTAAACAGTAATAACGTAAACATTTTATATAGTTTTATTTTATTTATTTTTTCCATGGGCCTAAAAAATATAATTTGTTACTTTAGATATTACTCGGTTAATTGGCTCGCATTTTATCCATTCGCTGCGATTTCTGTGAAATATTAAAATTATTACGAAAATGGCCATCAATAACAATGTCAATAGTCACATCTGAGAATACTTCGGAGTTTAGATAAATTATCATTAATTCCATCGATTAAAACTGATTGGTATGAAAATGATTATTTTACCGGCGAACTTCTATGATTTATTGCTCGGTTGTTTTAAAATAACATAAATCGGTGCGATTTTCCAAACGGCACAAAGTTAATCACAATATTTGTTTGAATAAAATACCAGCAGGTATACAACAACGACCTACATTATCGTATTAGCTTCGAGCTTAGAATATCTGGTTACAATTTTGTATTATTATTTATTAAAAATACAACAACGTGATATGTACCACGGTATTGATTATGTAATAAATTATTGCTCCACGTCAAGGATTATAATTTTCGGAAAAAAAACCAACTGTTGGTAATTTTTATTTTATGATGTAGATTATTTTGGATGTAACATCATTGTATATTATAACATACTTTATGACCTACATAGGTACCCAAATCCATCGGTATAGTCCAGTAGCGTGGATGGAAATAAACAATAGATGCGTCCCAATAATATAACAAATTCTGTTTAGGTTATATTAATATTTGTCACGCAGGTTATTCGCGACTCGGGATTTCGAACGCAATAGTTACCTATAGGTACCTACTGATTTAATATCATTTTTATAGAATAGAATATTAGACTCGAATAAAAAAAATTAACATTTTATCATTTCAAATATTAGTCGAAATAAATAACTGTTATTTGTTGTAAACTTTCAATATGCATATTTTGTGGCGTCAAAATACTTTTGTATTTCTAATAATAATTTATACTATAGGAGGTGTAATAACAATATATGAAATAATCACTAATCATTATACAATACAACTAATAACAATACAATTGTGCATATAATAAGTACGGAAAAATTGAGTTCTTGAGTAAAAGTCAACTGAATTAGTAGTAATAGTATAGTAAGTTGTGCTACAATATTTAAATTTAAAATAACGTGTGTTATTTCAAGTACCTATATTTGTGAGGGCAAATAAACACAACCCTCTTGATATGATCCCAATTAATTAGTAGTTATGAGTATATATACGATCATTACGATATCTACGATCATTCCAAACAGGAAATACGAAATAAATGTACCTAGCGCCTAATAGCGCCTGTTTTTACTAACATTTTTTTTAACATTAAGAATTTAAATTTTTTATTGTGCTATCCAATCCGTTAATCATTATGATTATACATTGTATTCATAATTAGTTTAATATTTGACAAGGCTGAGCATTAACAAGTTAAAAAGTAAATTTTATTTTAACTTTTTAACTTAACTAGTTACTTTTGGATTTTCATTAACCTACCCATTAACTTGCTAAATTTCTTTTTTAATTAACGTGAAATTAACGAATTAATTTTCATTTTAATAATTAAGTTAAGCTAATTTATTTTGTTTTTGATTTTATTATATTTCACTATCTCAGTCTATTTTGTTTTCATGTCAAAAAATATTTACCGTGAATATTGTTTAAAGTTAAAAAAATTTAATTTTTCCAATCTTTCTTATTTGATACGTAACCATTATTCTGTTTTTAGAAACGAAAAACTTCAATAAAATATATGGGAAATGTATGAAAATACTGTATAAAGTAAACATTATATAGTTTACAGTTTAGTTTTGGGATGGTAAGAAATAAAGTAGGCAGGCACTAAGGTTGTATAAAAAAAATGTATCATTAATTAGCTTGATAAAAAATTTAAAAAAAGTGTGTACTAACTTTAAACTAAACCGAGTTAACCAAAAATGAAATTGGCTTTTATAACTTTTAACTTTTTATTACTGATGCATATTAACTTAACTGTGTTAAAAGTAAAATCATTACCTGACTTGCCCAGCCCTGCAGATATTTGGTAGATCAATTAACTATTCCCTTCATAATTATATAATGTTACCGCTAAATATACGTCGTGTATTATGAATTTATCTTAACGGGTAGGTACCTACGCATAATTTTCTTGTACCGCTATAAGGTAGACGAGATCGTTTTTTTTCCACCCCACTCTGAAAACTATCTCATGTTATGCTTTTCGGTGTACCTACGCATAATATAATGTTGTATATCCCTGGAAAATGATGGAACTATCCGATCTCGTTTAAGACAAAGTCGTGTTAACCGATATTACTGGCGATGATAGTCACTGAAGCGTAGATGAGTCGTCCGGACCTTAATTAATGAGTCGTAAGGGAGAGAGGAGGGGTCGGCGAAATGACTGCGTAATGATAATACATGGCATATATCGTTGATTTCATGTCAACGCGGTGATGATAATTAGCCGCCAGTTGACGTGTTTTTCCGGAAAATAGTCGCCGCCGATAGGGTTTTCTTCGCGTCACGGTTTTACATTTTATTACATTTCCGGTGTCGTGTGTTTTATTATTCGACCGATGTACAACACTGGCGGGCCACCAGCAGGGTGTAAAAGGGGTTACTCCACCACGACGAGAGTTAAACTCGTTAAAATAAAAAAAAATTACCTGTTGGTGAGCTGGTGATAATATTATTATATAATAGTTACATAAATTATTATATTTTTATTTTTTTTTTGAATGTCGTTCGCGTGCCTCGTTGTCATTCGCTCGTGGGGGGAGCACGCGACGCCACTTTTCGTTATCGTGTATTATTATTTATTTATTATATACATATTATATTATATACCTATATAGTATAGGTAATAAGTCATCGTCGTCGTCGTCACTCTGCAGTGTAGTAGCCGGTTGAACTTGAATACTTCGCAGTTCGCGGATCGACGATCGTCGTGCCCTTGACGAAATAAATGGCGACAATATTTTGTCGGCTCACGAGTTTCGCCGCGGTACAGGTGACCCGAATCGATTATTATAAATTGTCTTCGAGACAACCGCGCACAAGGGGCCCTTTTGTGTTCGTTTTTTTTTTCATTTCCATTATAGGTATTGGGTATTTTTTCGTTTTGTTTTCATTGGTATAATTGTTTATTTTTTTCAATTAGGTACATTTTAATTAATTACCTACGCGATGCCGCAATTAAATCTGCGACAAAGGTCACTCGCAACTCGTGCTGTAGTGTCGTAGGTCCTGCGCAGTTGTTGCCGCAACGCTTAGTCTTCTGCAATTTTACGAGTACCAAGTGTTTGTTGTAAACTATTTGAATTCGCAGTAAAATAATTACTTTTTGATGCGGCGGGTCAATACCTACTATTAATAATAGAAAATTAATTAAATATATTTTCCTGGCTCGTCGCTTCATAAAATACAGCAGTCACCGAACAATGTTTAAATTTCAGCTAAAACGGATCATATGATGTAATTCGAAACATCCTATTAGGTATATGCGGTACCTATAACTCTAATCCCGACTTATTATATTACGCGTACCTAATACTTATATATTGAAACTATTTTAATGACGTAACGAAAATTATACTAAGCACATATATGGTACAATATTATTATGAAGACTTCGACACTGTATAATGTGTCACACTTTTAGGTCTATTAGTCGTGTCAGTATTTAGCGGTTTACAAATTGATAGTCGTGAATACCGTCTATTGCAGAATAAATTGCCATTATACGAGTCACGCAGTCGATATTTATATCGATTCCGTCTTATTGCAATGAGCATAAAGAGATATATATCCGCAGTCTGGTCCGTGTCGTAAATGTTCGATTTTCGTAAATTATTTTGTCTCGCTTTACACCAATCAATCTCGTCTTATTAGCACCTGTCTGTCGGCGATTCGTGATAGTAATTTTTGTTAAAGCGTTAAATTATCGTCCGAATAAAACTGATCGAAATGTAATTGAAAGATTATGCGTATACAACAACGTATCCGGAAAATCCCAGCTTGTACCTATGAATTCTCAAGAAAATATTGATTTTCAACCTTTACAATCGCTGCAAACCTGGTCCAATGGAATTTCAATGCCTCCCCAAAATAAATCTAATTCTAGTATATCATTGTTTATATTTATGTATATATTTATCTCATATATTATATTGTTAGTCTACTGTTATAGTTTGTTGTGTAACTGTTCCTACTGAATTAAACTTCAAATTATCCTTTCCTGACAATCTTTTGTGTTCATAATACTATATAATATAATAGTGGCGTGCGAAGACAGTAACGTCAAAATTGAAAATTTCTTAGCATCGTAAATAAAGTCTTACGATCTGTTTGAACGTTGGTTTAAGCCGGTTTCCAAGACAAAAAAAGTCCTATAACAAACTTTTATGCTGCTACCGTGAAGATTACAGCGCAAAAATTAAAAAAATTCTAGCGTCAGAAGTAAAATCTAACAAACTTTGAAAGTTGTCTAACAATGTCGTGAAAAGCGAGGTTTGAGTCCAAAAAAACTTCTGATAAACTGTTGTGATGCTATATATAGGTCCTTATATAATTGCTACCGTGTAAATAGCGACGCAATATTTTTAAAAATTTTCAATCTTCGAATATTATATTATTATAATAAAGTTGTCTAATAATTTGTTAACATATTAGTTCGATTGTTGTAAAATATATTCACTGCTATTATAATTAATAATAATAATATATATATTAAAATAAATAATATATTATAAATCTAGGAGGGTCTTTACATACATGAAGGGTTATTCACCAAGTATGCTAAACCCCCTTTTTTCTTCAATAAATCAGTTATTTAAAATCTGATTTTTGGAAATTTTAAATATACTTTAGTCTTTAAGACCATATTTTTAAATTCTCGAGATTTGTTGTACCCAATATTAAGAAGTGTCCTGTGGAGATATAAACTTCTGTTTTTCAAATGAGAACACCCTTTTTCAACTTCAAGCTAAACAGTGGATAATTAATAATAACAAGGAGAGAATTTTGTATCACCATAGGACACTCCTTGGTTCTTTAGTAATACAAACAATTTCAATAATTTGAAATATGGTCTTTGAGTTTATTTAAAAATTTGAAAAATCAGAATTTGAATAACTGCATTAATAACAAGGAGAACATGGGGGTGAGTACTGAGCATGCTTGGTGAATCATCATCCTGTATGTGCTCGTACATTTGGATATTATTTTTAACGTTTAAAGAATACTCGTCGCCTTCAAAATTATTATAATTTGTATAGGTCTATCATATTATTATTGTTTGTAAATCAATATCGCGGTCAACTCGGCGTAATTCGGTGGTTGTCACTGTCGATAACTATATTATATTATTATATTATATAGATTTCAAAAAGGAAAATGGCTTTCAAGGGATGCCTGTGGTCAGTGGTAAACACGCGTCGCCATACCACATACCAGTCGTCGGCGAGGAGAGGGATGTCCACTACAACAGCGGTCGCAGCATCGACGGCGGCGGTTACAACCAACCGAGTTCTCGTTTCGGAGACCCGATGGCAGACGACTTTGACGGAGGAAAGTACGGGCCGGACGACGTGGACGACTCGGCGGCGCCAATTTCGGACTTTGGCGGCTATAATTTCGATCACGACGATCTCGGCGACGCGTTCGACTTCGGCCCGTCCCCTTTCAAGTACCATCGTGACGTGTCCACCGACGGCCTAAAAGGCGACGCGCACGGACTCGACGATCAGGTCAGTGCACATCATAATAATATTATTATTTATTTATTTCACAAACAATAATCTATTCACAAATACCTAAAAATACCTACCCTTAATCAACTAGCAAAATTATATTTTACTTTAAATGTCATAGTAACTTAAACTCACACAGTAACACGCATTAATCAAACAACTATCCTTCATCTCATTTTCCGGTAAAGTACGCGTAGAAGACTCAAAAGACGGTGGCCTAGAGACCGCTACTTACTAAAAGAAAAGTAAAAAACAATAGGTAATACCATCGACCTATAAACTAACCGGTCTATAGACCTAAAGGGTAATACCTAAAAGTTCCTGGCTGGGTGGCACTGCTGAGTGCCTGCCCAAAAAGACAACCTCCTTTTAATAACCATTTATCAAATTTATATTGTATGGACTGTAAATAATTTTTAATAAAATCAAAAAAAAATGCAATTACTTATATTTTATAATCTTTGCCAGTTTTCAAACTTTGTGTAGGTATATACGTATATTGTATAATACAGTGGTTCTCAACCAGGGGGAATTTAGATACTGCACGGAGGGAATAAAATGATAACAAAATAACAAAAATTTTGTTGTTAAAATAATTATGTCATTTTACAAGTTCAGTAAAATTGAAAACAATAAATTAGTTTTCTCACGGTCTCCATCGATAACAATTAAACGAGTATTTTATAATGATTTTTGGGAATTTACCTATTCCCATTTCCCATTTAATCTAATATCGATAGGTACAAAGTTTAATTATATAGTATAACAAAGTTATTTTGTGTCATTAAAACAAAAAAAAACATCACCTAAACTCTAATTTAAGGGGGGGGTGAATTTTGAAAGTTTACTAGGGAGCGTAGAATAAAACAGGTTGGAAACCACTGGTATAATATTGAATCATATTATAAATAGCAACCGATCAATCGCGATATATAGGTAGCTATTAATATTATCGTTTCAAATTCCGATTAAGTGTTACAAAATATAATAATATGTATTCATTTTGTATTCATAACATTGCATTAAAGCCCGTTATAATGTTATTTTGGAAAAAAAATATATTATACAAATTAAAGACCTAACCAACATGCATATAATGAGCATTTTCCGATTTAAGGTCTAGACACAAATAATTTTTAGTATTCGTTTTAATTTTTGTTATTTCTAATATTACATAATATTAAATTATTCAATAAATATAATATAATTTTAATTGTATACTATTTATACAGACTAAAAACCGGACAGGTTCTTTTCATTATTTTTTTTTCAATACACTTATAATATTGTATTGCATACATAATATACTGTTTAGTGCTCATATTATTTGTTAAATAGATATTAAATAATATTTGGAAGTACTTCATTAGATTATGCTTTTAAAAAATAATATTAATTCGCTCTGGATAAAAAATAAATCGATATTTAATAACACTATGCCTTTTGAATGAATACAAAAAGGTGAACGAATGAAAGATTTCAAAGTGATTACATTTGAATGCAATTCGAAACCGTCTCACATGTTAACCCGGACAGACATTTTAAACATTGTTATGATTTATGACTTCTATTTTTCAACGTCTTATACATATTTTAACGCTTTTGCATTTTTATCCCATTTGTTTTTCCTCCGGCCTACATAGTTTCGTTTTTCCAAAGGTTTGAAGGCCAAAAGTTTACCTAACGAAATGTATACTCAAACAGCTGTGATTTATGCACGTCAACCATTTTTCATATATAGGCACCTAACATGAATTCCAGGGACTGGAATTTCGTTTTTTACAATGTTTAGATGAATTGTTGAAATATATAATACATATGATGGGTACGATCGTTTAAACTAAGTAGTTTTATTGAAATCCATTGTTTAAGAACCAAACGTTATGTACCTAACTATATGGTTAAATAAAATTATGTCGAAAATAATATATCTATAGACATTAGACTATAATATTATTTGCACACTAATGTATGATAAGTTTCAATTCCTTTTAAACCAAATTTAATTTTAATATTTTCCTCAAGCTTTATATAGGTAGATAGGCACTTTATTAAAATCAAAATTCATAATTTAATATTTATCATATTACCAGGATTCATATTCCGAAATTCCGATTGTTCTAGAAATTGAAAGAAATATTGAAATCTGTATGAATAGATTTTAATATAACTTTACTTACTTTGACAGTAAGTTAATAGAAATTGTTCAGTGTTGATTCTTCCCTATACATTTGAAATGAATCAACTAAAATATTTATTATCACCAAACTGCAAAATGTCGGCACTCGAGGATTTTTTTAACTCTTTTATATATATTAATATATTATTATTACAGTGGAAAAAAACATAGATTGGATAAATAATACATTCGTATAATATAATAATAATATTGTACAGGTTCACATCGAAGGTATAAATTCCTGAGAAGTAATAAAATATTAGTGTTTAATGTTTACATAAAAAAAAAATCATATCACAAAGTAATTCAAAATCAATACATTTGAAGCGTTTCTGTATTAATGACAACACCCATATTATGTACGACCAAAACGTACTACACTTGTACCAATTGTGCATTATCATATCATACATTTAGTGGTCGATCCAGTGCATGGTTTTAAGAGGGGGGGCGCAAAAGTGCAAAACAATTTACTACATCAATACTACAGACATAAACTACAACTGCACTACAGTGAAAAACACGGGCTAAGATATATAGGGAAACTGTGGTCCTTGGGAGACGGGAAAATGCCACTTTCCCCTCCCCTGGATCCACCACTGTATACAATATTAGTTATTACACTAAGTACCTTGTACCTACCTCCATAACAACGTCTGTGGTGGCGGCTGCGACATCATATTTGATGATTATGATGATTTTATGCTGACCTTTTCAGAATTATTTCGGTTCGCCTTACACCCACAACGAGTACAAGTCGCCGAGCAAACACTCAAAGGCTGGAGGTTCGTACCAAAAGGCCGGCCATTACTTCTCGCAGGGCACGCTGGGCGACAGCGGCTACAAGAACCAGCACGACTTTGACAAGGGCCACGCCGGCAAGTACGGCAAGGACGACCTGAAGAGCCACTACAAGAAGGCGTCCGGCCACAGCAACGGTCACAAGAACGAGGCGGACCACTACGGCAAGCACAAAAGCGGCACTCACGGCGTCAAGGGCCACAAGTTCGGCGAGACCGAGCACCACAAGAAAGGGCACAAGACGACCGGGTTCCACAACGTATACCACAAGGACGAGTACAACAAAGAACAGAAGTTCTACGACGACGCGCACAAGCACGGCAAGTTCGACAAGTACGGTGGCAAGCACAAGGACTTCTCGCAGAAGGACGGCGGTCACAAGCACGGCACTCACCACGAGTCGGGCTACGACGAGGGGCACAAGGGCGCGGCCGGCCAGTTCGAGAAGGGCAGCTACCACGACGGCCACAAGGGCCACAGTGGCGAGTCCGGCCACAAGTCGCACCACGACCACAAGGCTGAGTACGACACCCTGTCCGACAACAAGAAGTACGGCGAACACGAGGCTGCGGGTGGCGACGACTTCTATTGACCGGTGATGATACTTCCAAGTCTATAATATTATTAATATTATATGCCTGCGCGTGTATCGTAATGTACACGTATATATACTTAGCGGAAGCAACCGCTTCAACAGACTTCAGTGACGTGCCAAGGAGGGGGGTCTATCTTATATTCCCTCCCTCCATTGTCCCACACATCCCCTTAGATTTTTTTTTATTTGGTATTACCACCACTATTCGTTTAAATGTATTATTACTTATAATCCCCCCCCTTTCATTGAAAATTGAAGGGCACTTCACTGACAGCCTTACTATTATATATTATTATAAAACTTGGTAGCTTATTATATAATTATTATTATCGTTGTTTTACGCCTACGATTGTGTGCAGTGTGTCTGTATATAATAGTATATACATATATAATTTTTTATTTCTAAGTATGTTATTTATATATCTATATAATATAATCATCTTCAGTCTGATCATGATTCAAGTTAACACTACATTTCTAGGATGGATTACGTTGAATTGAATCGATACTTTTTTCACAACCTATAATGGGGACGTTATAGCTGGAACGTTCCAAGTTTATTGATTCTCTCCCACTCGTATTATTTTATAATTACCAATATCTATTTATTTTTGAAATCATATTTAGGTAGGACTAAGTTATAGGTTACCTAGGTAATAATAATAATGAATAGTTACTTTTTTCATATTTGTTAAGATGATTAAATTCGTTCATAGTAAATAGTTTTTTTTTTACTTGCTAAATTGTACTAAATATAGTGTTTTACTTAAGTAGTATTAAATATTTTATTAAAATATTAATATTATAAATTATTATGATATTTGAACTAGAGATGTTACGAATTGTTCGATAGTCATCAGTTTAATCATTACAAAAATACAAAAACGGATTTAAGTTTAAATTTTAAATAGCTCTCATATTAAGTCAAGTTTGATATTAGAATCATAGTTAGAAATTAAATATTACTTTAAAAAATAGGCCTACCTACCTAAATGTATGATATTAAAAATATACATTATATTATATATTAGAGATATTGGCATATTGCATGCGTGTTTTGGAGGATTAATAATTTAACGTAACATCTGTTGAAAATTGAGTGTTAAGTACCTGAAAAAACGATCATTCTGTTTATTATAATATTATGTTTATATACCTTTATAAAAGTTAAGTCTTTAATTAATTTCTAAATATACGCATGTACATATTATTATTTTTATGCATTCATATATTAAAAAAAAAGGTCATTATCCTATATACCTACCATGATTAACATTCATTATAATATATAATATTAAATTAAATCATCAGAAAAAGAACTAATGTGAATTTCAGAGGTAAACGGTTGCTTATAGGTACAATTAAATATACATAAATATTCCCAACTGATCACATAATATTATATTATGATAACGAATGCAATTAAACCCGTGAAAAGGATCGTTATACAAAAAAACAAAAACCCAAGGCCTCGTTATTTGACCGCTCTCTGTTTATATTTTATACCCAATTATTAAACGACAGTTTATAAAGCCGTGATTTAAAATCCTATTATCGAGATTCTCGATTGTGTAATAAAAAATATATATATATATATATAAAAATACGATTCCATACACTATATTATTATATCTATATATATATATACCTACGAGATATACATTTATATATAACGCGCTCGGTCCTCTCCTTATATTTTATTGAAAAAAAAATAATGTATATTCGGTTTGTATGGTTCAGATTTTGAATAGCCGTATAGGTAATTCATATACATATATAATATTATGTAGGTATATGAGATACCTATTATACCGATATGGACTATATCCAACGCATAATAGGTACCTATACGTATGCGGTTTAATAATAATAATAATAATTTGAAAGAGTTCACACACGTGCTGTAATATAGTCTATACCGCCTATTCCCCGGTAATGACGACGAGGAAGGGGTGGTTTCTGTTTCATCTTTACAATATAAGTGTTTCCAATAGTTTCCATTTGTGAACATTTGTTTAATTTTTTTATTTTTTAGGATTATTATTGATCAACCGATTCGATATTAATAAGCAGTTTATTATTATATATTTTACTTATTAACCCTTTACAATAGCTGCTGGCAGTGGCGTATTTTTAACTTTTTCTAAAGAGGAGGGGGGGGTCCAACAAATTATAGGTATTGTTATTAGAAAATAAGTATGAATTATAAATATAGATTATACGAATAGAAAATTGGTAGGCATAGATATTAAAACCAACCTAACCTGACCTAAACTAAACTAACCAGCCGCTGGTTTTGATATCTTTTAATAACAATTTTCTATTCACATAATCTATATCTATAATTAATAACTATTTTCTAATATCATAGTTTATTGTTGCCCAACCAAAAAAAAATACCACACTGGCTGCTGGTGACACGCACGGATTTTGTCTTGTCTTTATATTGTTTTAGTATCATATAATATTATTAAAATTACTATGTTTAAGGCTCTAAGCAGTCCAAGCATATACATAGATGATAGATATCATGTATTGTTGAATTATAATCAAAAAACATATGAATACGTTTTTTAATATTAATAAATATAACGACTCAAGATCGTCATATTGTCTATTCTATGTTTCTAAGGTAAAAATTGTAGATATTCGACAAATTTATTATTTTGTCTTCGTCAACCCAGCGAAAATCGAGTAGGCATGTCGTCTGGCCCATTAGCTCAGTTGGTTAGAGCGTCGTGCTAATAACGCGAAGGTCGTGGGTTCGATCCCCCCATGGGCCATCAAATTTTTTTTATGCATCAATTTAGATTGAAGGAATATTAAATTAACTACTAATATCAATCCAGATCATTTTACATTTCGTATACTTCACAAAAAAAAAAAAATGATAAATAATATAATATTATATTATATTATTATTTTTAAACCGTTTAATTTATTTACGTCATGGCACTCGTCCAAAATGAACAATGTTAATATAATATGTGCTCTCTTCAGTATTGGTACTCGAGTCGTATTTATTTTTTAAATCCGAATGCAATATTATTACGTCAGTTTCACACAACCTCCACTAATAATTATTTCATAAAAAAAATCCCAGTCAAGATAGCGATTATAATATTAGCGATTATAATAGCAGTTCAAAAATATTTAATATTGATACAATAAATTCAAGATTTTTTTTATAAGCATTTAAAATTAAAATTTTTATGAAATTCTTTTGTAGTTAAAAATGTATATAATGTTTAATTTTTATAGCTAATGATAAATATTTAAATCTTAAAACTGAGTTAAAACATGTTTTCTCATTAGTAATTCATACTGTAACCGAAAAATCTTAAAAATATAAACCTACACTGTTTTTTTTTTTTTTTTTATAGATATTTTAAGTTCAAATTAAACAAAATTAGACATTTAAACAAAAAATAAAAATAACTAAATAATTCATATTTTATACTCACAATAACAATTTAAAATTCTCTGTTTTTGCCTAAAAATAATTCAACCTAATTTATGGTAAAATAAATTATCATATAATATAGCAATAATATCATAAAATATACTTACTATAGATCGTCTTCGCTCAGAATCATTTTTTGTATAAGACGATTTTATATCGTTGAATTCAAATTTAACACATCCTTTCGGTCTTTTTTAAAATTATTTATCGATATAGTTTTTCTTTACGTTTTGAAAACATAATAATATGAAGAAATCAAATTAATATGAACCAACAGTGTCAAGATACGATTTACAACAGATAAGGTATTAAGGTTACTTCAAACGCTTAAAGCACTCAGTGTACATAAATGTGTAGACAAAATATATAATTTAAAATAATTTATCTATTGACCACATTTTTAATTTAAATAAAAGATGAAATAAAATAAAAATAAAAAATAAAAAAATTATTGGCCCATGGGGGGATCGAACCCACGACCTTCGCGTTATTAGCACGACGCTCTAACCAACTGAGCTAATGGGCCCGAGTGGAGGGGAACTGATGTTGCATAGCAAATAGAACAAAAATATTACATACATAGCGTAACTGAAAAACGTATACGTAACTGAAAAACAAAATCTAGCATGCTATACTTGATAGTTGATACCTAATATTATATTATTTCCTCTGCAAGAAAAATGAAGGAATCATGGATATGTGTTTGGACAAAGAAAACGTATCTAGTGGCACACTACATTTTGTTAGGTATTGAGTTATGTTAGATTCTGAGTGGAACGATGAATGTATTGATTTTACAATGATGTGTGTTTTTTTTTTTGTGTGTCTGTGTATACGATTAGTAAGCGAAATAATGGTTCGATTTTCAACTTCAGTATCTTGTTCGATGGGAAAGTGAATCTAGTTGGTACTTTTGGGGAAGGTCAAATTTTAAAATTCCCAATAGTTTTCACGAGCGCCGGGAAAAACAACATAAAAATTAAGGAAAAACGGGAATTTCAACGCAAAATCTGTTTTGGAGAAAATCGATTTTGGTTTTTGGTGCAACTCTTAAACAAATAACCTTAGGTACATGAAAATTTCACTGAATGTATGTTTTATCAATTCTTATCCTTGATAAAATGTTCAAAATATTTTGACTTGTTTTGAGCTCTTTACGGACATTTTCAGTTTCCATTTTTTTTAGTTTTTTTTCTTAAATATCAATAAAATTTTATTTGTTGGTAAAAAAAAGCTTGAAAATTTAATAGAAGGCTCCTAGTATATAGTTTCAAAGGCAGATGAAAAATATTAAAAATTCTTAGTCGCAGTTTTTTTTTATAATCGTTTAAAGTTCTTGACAGAATATGGAAAAATCACGAACATTAGCAAATTATTTTGAATTAAGAATTCATAATAACTTTTCTTTTTATATCTAAGATTTTAAAATTTAATACAAGATTCCTTATAAAAGTATCTACATTTATCGAAGAAAAAAATGGCTATAAGAAGGCCAAATTAAATTTTTACGAGCGTTTGAAATTAAAATTTTTAC